GGGTTAGGGTTGGGGTTAGAGTCAGTTAGGGTTAGGGTTGGGGTTAGAGTCAGTTAGGGTTAGGGTTGGGGTTAGGGTTGGGGTTAGAGTCAGTTAGGGTTAGGGTTGGGGTTAGGGTTTGGGTTAGGGTTTGGGTTAGTGTTGGGTGTAGGGTTAGGGTTCTGGTTAGGGTTAGGGTTACCGTTAGGGTTGGGGTTAGAGTTTGGGTTAGGGTTGGGATTTAGGTTACCGTTAGGGTTGGGGTTAAGGTTTGCGTTATGGTTTGGTGTAGGGTTAGGGTTAGGGTTAGGGATGAGTGTTGGGTTTAGGGTTAGGGTTAGGGTTGGGGTTAGGGTTAGGGATGAGTGTTGGGTTTAGGGTTAGGGTAAGGGTTAGGGTTAGGGTTAGGGTTGGGGTTAGGGTTAGGGTTAGGGTGAGGGTTAGAGTTAGGGTTTGGGTTATGGTTAAGGTTCGGTATCTTCTTTATTGTGTTTGTTGGGGTGGTCGGTCGTTACGGACGTCCCTCTTCTCTCTGTACCCACGTATAAATGTAAGGCATCGTGGTGAAATCAGGCGCTCGTCAAAATAATCAAGGTGAAAAAGCAAGCATTTTCCGCAGGTTTGTGAATTTTTATCGAATTTTTTTGGGGGGCCCAACACCTTTCATGCCCATTAAAGAACACATTTCTGTGTGGACTTTACTGAAAAACGTTCATTAAAGGTACAAAAGGGTTAATTTTCAGTTGTCACGAACTTTCAAGCTAAGGAAATAACTCATCTTTGGCGGCTATTTTTTTTTTACTAAGTTGACCTGTGAAACCAGGTGACCCCCACCTCCTTCATTCGCAAACATCTCGACTTCTATTCAATATAGAAGTGTATTTTTTCACCAAATGCAAGGCGAATGTGCAGGCTTTAAGATTATACAATAACTTTATACGCCCCTAAATTGACGATTGCCTGATTCCACCATGCCTCGACACAAATTAGTACCCAGCCGTATACAGCGATTGCCAGTACCTTACTGTTTCAGCCCTTGTAGAATTGCTGTTTTCACTGTAAACTACTTCACAGGGAGTTGAGATTGTACCAGAATGCTTTCAGGTCGGATAGGGTAATAATATTATAGATTGTAAAACGCATAGAACTTGCTGTTGAGCGGGACCTTGGTTATACAAATGAAGAGCACAGGGGGAAAACGACTGTAGTCACAAACTGGAAATTGTGAGGGTGCCAATTTTGAAAGCTTGAGGACTCATAACTTCATATTATTATTTGTTTGACTGTTGGTTTATTGTTAAAGGATCTTAAATTAGAAATTTAACAGCAATAATCAACCAACAGTTGAACAGATATACAGTTATGAGTCTACAAGCGTTCAAAATAGGTACCCTCACGATTTTCAGTTATGACTACAGTCGTTTTCCCCTGCAGTCTTCAAATGCTGTTTATAATTTATTATCATCTTTAGCATGTCAGCGTGCTTCGTTTTAGACAAATACACTCACACTTTTCCTCTCCCATCCCAACAGGTACCGTCACATTTGCTTACTCTACGCTCTCCGGGACAGGAAGCACTCAGGTAGTATCCTGCTCCGTCTCTCTCATCATCATTTAGCTATCTCTAGCGTTAACCCGTACGTTGAGAAATCCTGGCGTGCTGTTTTTGAAACGTGTAGGTTTAACGCCCCTTACAACGCAAAGGAGGGGTGGGGGGGAGGATCCCGCGACACCCAATAGGGTATTTATAAACGGCGGATTAAAGTAAAGTAAGTACAACGCTGGGCCTCCGAATTCAACATTCATCCCAGATGGGACCGATCTTAATGAAAAAAAAGAAAGAAACAAAAAACAAAACAAAACAAAGCTCGTTTAAAGACTTTCTCAGGGACACAAAGTTTGGTCAAGCTGATCCTCGAATCTGCAAACCCACAATCTTACGATTATGGAAAATGGTGAAATGGTATGAGTTTAACGCCCCTATTAACACTATTAGGTTATTTAAGAGGCGGGGCCTCCTAGTTTAACGTCTGTCTCCGACAGGATCGAGCCAAAGTGGGCAGTTCGTGTAAAGTGTCTTTCCCAAGGACACGACGTCGGACCGAGCAGAG